TCACCATACATTTTTGCTAAAACAGAGAAAGCTATGGGGTCAGGTCTCCAACAGCTAGCTACCCCTCTCTCGTATAAGCCAACTACTTCCTCAACCTTCCCCAATTTCGCATAGCAGAATAAGTAACTTCATCAGGCATCAAACCAGTTTTATACATTCTCTCAAACCATTCTACAGTCTAATCAAAGTGATTGCGTCTCTTGGCACAAGTAATTATGGTTGAATAAGTAATGTTATCAAGTGGGATCTCATTGCTTACCATTTCATTAGCAAGCTCCACAATGAGCTCAAACTGTCTCCCAAACCTCAAAGACTTCATGGTGACATTGTAGAATATGGTTTCAATAGGAAACAAATTCTTGGTCTTTAACCAGGTGAAGAAAAGGTGACTCTTTTTCCATGGTTTCAAGCTGTTGAGAATCAGAAGTGCATTTTCTCGAGTGGGATTTCGTCGAGAACGGTTATGAAAGCATCTTCACTGCAATCACTCAGCCTTTTTGCAAAGAGCTTCAGCTCCCTGACTTTGGGATTGTGTGCATAAAGAGAACGCGTTTGCCTTTGAAGTGAGAGAACGGATCTTTTAGGCTTGGTGGGGTTCACCCATGTGGACTTTGGCTTCGACAAGAGACGAGCTTGGTCCTTGTTGGGAAGCGTGGTGGTCGAAAGTGGCCGAAGTTGCTCCGACAAAGATGGGGTTTTGGTAAAAGTGGGTTTTGTTTGTGGAGTTGCAGTAAATGGTGAGTTTTCGTCAGGTGAAGAAGATGCGCCTTTTGCTATGGGATTGAGGGATGGGGAAATGGAGATCAAGAGCAGTGGATAGTGTAGGAGCCATGGGAGAGTGTTTTGAGTGAAGGAATGAGGAAAATATCTGATATGCCTTCGTGTATGTATGGCGGTGGATACATACGCCATAGATATTTGGTAACCTTATCTGAAAACCCATGAAAACCATATAATGGATTCATTTCATTCCCCAGATTTACAATTGTTGATTATGGAGAGCAAATTACTTAGCTGGGAAAGACATGTTAGTTGTTTATGCTGGAGTTAAAAGTAAAACATTTAACAAGTTGAATCAGCATTAATTTATTGATATTATTATTGTTATAATAAGTATTTTTATATTTTATTAGAAAATTAAAATTAATGTAATATAATATCTATTAAAAAACTCTTAATTATTTAATAATAAATATTTATACTTCTGACATATACTATGCTCAAATATGTGAATTCAAAAAAAAAATCTTAACTATTAAGTCGTTGATTTATATAAATTAATATATAATAAATATTATAATTTATATCTTAGAAAATAAAAATATTTAACAATTTATATGTTGTTTATCTTAGCTCCATGGGTTATGGATGCACATAATTAAGGTCGGGTTGAGATTTTGTCGATTTGAAATTACATTTCTTCGCCCTTCATCTAACTCAATTTTGATTTAGGGACATTTCATTCAACCCGACCCAATATCCATTTAAATATTTAAGATTAAAACCCGCACCGACATCCAACTTGTCTCGTCCTATTTCAATACACATTATATATAATTTTTATTTTTATTAGATAAAATGGAGGTTTAATTAATATATATAAAAGAAGGATATTCTATAATTATCCCTAAATATTTAAAGGACATAAATATATATTAGAGTAAAGTACACAAATGATCATCAATTATAAGATGGTATTTTATCGAGTCCAATGAGTATTAAAATTACAAAATGTCTTCTGATTAAAGGGTATTGTTTTGTTAACTCCTATGATTATTAAAAGTTACAAAATAATCACTCAACTATTTATATGTTCCAAAGTCGTCTTTTTGCGTTAAAAAATTGATGTTCGTATGAGTTGGACGTTAATTTATTGACTAAAATATGATGAAAACTATTTTAATTATGTTTACTGATACCATCGTTGCTTTCAAGCACTAACTTAACGGCATAATGTTTCAAGCACTTACTCGACGACATAATATAAGCGGAGAATCAATCCATAAAATATAGCTCAAGCGGTTTTGAGATGAGATTTTATCATATCTTAGTCAACATGTTAATGTCTAGCTTAGACGGCTGTCAATTTTCTACAAAAAACGAGAAGTTTAAAATATGTGAATAGTTGGGTGACAATATTTATAACTTTTAACAATCGCGTGACTCAATAAAATAACGACCTATAATTAAGGACCATTTTATAATTTTTAATAGTCAAGGGATTCAACAAAGCAACAGACTATAATCGAGAGTTCATTTATGTACTTTTAACATAGATATTATTATACCAAATTGGATCGGACATAATATCATTTTCACCCTGATAGATATTTGACAAGTAAGGAAGCTGTGACACTGGTAATCGTTTCCTTTCATATTGTCGATCGTCGCCAACATGTTTCCATGTTTGCTCCAAGACATAATCAACCAGTTCAGCATTGCAGCAGAAAACACCAAGCAGAAACATTCTTAAAACTTCTTCGTACGTGTCATGCTGATTATATTTATCGGCAAATAGAAATTATAATAGAAAAGACAAATTAAAAAGTGGAAAACACTTGATTTTTCAACTTGAAATCTTTCCACTAATATGATATATATAATCCTGTCTGCTTAAACCATTCCATTTCTTGACCCAGAAAACAAGCACTCGATTGTAAACCCAATCTTCTTACGTTCAAACTTCGCCTGTCGGTTATTTTGCAGCTTCCGTGCCGAAACATGTCTGGTCCATCAATCCTTGGTGTCTTGTTCTTTTTAAGTACACATGTTTTAATGTTGCAAGAGGGGTGAAAGTTGGCTCGTCTTGTCTTATTTGAGGCTGCCCTTTTTTGTTTATTTTCCAGGAAGGCCAAATTCTTAATGGCAATATTTAAGAAATGGAGTTCCATTAACATCTTTAATCTAATCCCATGTTACCATTTAAGTGAGGTTGAAGTCTGAATTTAATATTCCAGAATCTATTTGTTTGGTAAATAAACTAAATTAAAAGGACATAAATGAACGAAAGTAAACTTGTATGGACTCAGCCAAGTGTGAATGGGTTCAAGCTTTATGGAATTTAGTGGCAAGCTTCAGACGATGAATCTCAGCACTTTCGGTGTGTTTTGTCCAACCACTTTATACTACATATCCCACGAACCTCTGTTTTCATTACATTTTCACTAGAGATTTTGATTACTTAGGCTCCAATTCTGGAAAATTCTGGGTTTGTTTTCTTGTTTTTGGTTGAACAATCAATAAACTGATGCAGAGTTTTATCTGTTTTGAGTTCTGGGTATGGTTTTATAATCAAATTTCTTTTTCAATCCAACATTATTTTGGCATAAACAACTGAGGGGAGGGCACTTTCACTGAAAAAAAAACCAACTTTATATTCCAAAGACGATGATTATGCTATTAACAGGGTGCATTCTGCGGGAAATCTTACTCGGTTCTTGACAAAAAATCCAGTGTTGATAAAAGCTTTTATTTTTGGATTTTTCCAGAGTTTTATTAGATACGGCTTTGGCTTTTAGAGGCAGATTTTTGTTCTTTCATGGGAGGAGCTTCACTGCCACCAGGCTTTCGGTTCCATCCCACTGATGAGGAATTGATAGGCTATTACTTGAAAAGAAAAACCGAAGGACTTGAAATCGAGCTTGAAGTGATTCCTGTGATTGATTTGTACAAGTTTGATCCTTGGGACTTGCCTGGTATACTATTCGTAAATTTGTTTTTTTAATGGAGAAATTGAAAATGAATTCGATTCGCGTTTTGCAGAGAAGTCGTTCCTTCCGAAACAGGATTTGGAATGGTTCTTTTTCAGTCCGCGGGATCGGAAGTATCCGAGTGGCTCGAGAACGAATCGAGCCACTGGAAAGCTACGGGAAAAGACAGGAAAGTGGTGTGTCAATCTTTTGTGAGTGGCTACCGGAAGACACTAGTGTTCTACCGTGGACGTGCCCCTTTAGGGGATCGAACGGATTGGATTATGCATGAGTATCGCCTCGCGGATGGGATGAGACTTCTCGAGGATCAACTAATCAGGTGAAAACATAGAACATATATGGACATGATTCTTCATTGTCCTTGCATTTCGATTCTTTGAAAAGATTATATGACCGGTTGCTTTAATACTGTTCAGGGAGCTTTTGCCTTGTGCCGTGTTGTGAAAAGGAATGAGCTGAAGGCAAGTCATGCTCGTGGAGAACCGGAAGCCAAAAGGGTCGGAAGTAGTTCAACCGGTGTGGAACTTACCGTGACAAGGACCTGCAACCAGTCATTGAGCAATTCTGGTGACATTCGTGCCAACCAAGTTACCCTAATCAAACGAGCAATTATTCAAGCCGTGTCACTTCTCCTCGTGAAGTCACCCAAGTGCCCCCATTTGAGCCTGTTTCTGTCAATGCCGAGCCAGGCGGCATTTGGGTCTCACCCGATCTAATTCTTGATTCTTCAAAGGTATATAACTTGTTCTGAAGGAAGAAAAATAGAACTCGAAGATTCAGTACTTGTTAAATGTTTCTTTAGGTTTCTTCTCTTAACAATTCATTGGCACATGGCAGGATTATCCACAGGTATGTGAAACAACAGCCCCTCACTTCAAACAACATCAGTTTCCGAGCTCAATGACCCTGTGGCAGCAACATGAACAGACCAAGTTCTCCCCCAGCTCATTGTACTTGAATTTTGGGGAAATCGAATATGATGATCTCGGTTGCATTGACTGCATGTCTCCTTACTCAAGACATGCAAATTACATGAACTTCTATAGAAATGAAGCCAATGACCAGTCCAGTTTGTTCGACTACATGAACCCTTTCTGAAAAGAGAGAGGAAGGAGATCATGTTAGCTCTTTCGTTGGCTGCAAGAAGACAATTTGGTGATTGTGATGTATGGTTGTCCTTACTGGTATGATTAATGAATGACATGCCTAGTTTGACTTAATCTCGAACGGATCAATCTCAAAGACGACGCCTTTTAACGTTGATTCTTGGAGTAATAACATGCACAAACCCCTTCATTGCTATCAGATTGTATCAACTTTGTTGTGTTTTTTTGTATTATGTACTGGGGACTGCAATGCCTGTTGAGAAATAACCGAGTATGAGTAATTTCCCTATAATCAGATTAGTGAGAATGCAAAATAAAAGCGGAAAAATAATACCCGAAATTGATAATGGAGTTCAGCCAATTATGCCTACGTCTCCGGATGCTGCAGATCTTTTACTAAGAGAGAAAATTTACAGGTGTTTACAAAACACTCATTACTCACAAGAAAGCTCTATAGTATTGAGAGAAAGAAATGATTTGGGATGATTTTGAAGCTAAATGGTTTAGGGTATTTATAGGTTAAAGGTTAGGGACTAATATTGTAATTAACCTTATTTTAATTATAATTAAAAATTAGGACACCGAATTCGGTGCCCCTTTGTTGAAAAAAGGCACCTCTACCCCCACCGTTTTTTTACTTTACAATCTCTCACTTGAAGACTGATTTTAATCTGTCTTCACACCTTGATCAATGCAACAACATTTCTGGTCTTGTTATTCTAGCATGCCAACTGAAGCTGAACACAACTTCAGTTTGTCCGTGGTCAACGTCTTTGTCAACATGTCTGCCGGATTTTGAGCTTCACTAATCTTTTCAAGTTTCATAATCCCATCTTCCAGAAGAGATCGGATAAAATGATATCGCAATTGTATGTGCTTCGTCCTAGAATGAAAAGACGGATTCTTTGCTAGATGGATAACACTTTGACTATCACAATACAAGACATTGTTTTCTTGTTTCTTGCCTAATTCTTCCAAGAAACTTTGGATCCAAACCATCTCCTTGCTGGCTTCCAGCGACATATTCTGCTTCAGTTGTGGAGAGAGCAACTATCTTCTGTAGTTGAGAAACCCAACTTACTGCGGTTCCTCCTAAAGTATAACATACCCTGTAGTGCTCCTTCTGATATCAACATTTCCGGCTAAGTCAGCATCTACATAGCCTATCAATATCGTATCTCCACCTTTGAAACAAAATACTTTGTTTGTGGTACCCCGTAGATATCTGAGGATCCATTTGATGCTTCCCAGTGTACCTTGCCCGAATTATTAATGTACCTGCTAACAGCTCCCACTGCTGAGCAATATCTGGTATGGTACAAACCATGACATACATCAGACTTCCAATTACTGAGGCATACGACACCTTTACCATGTGTGCACGTTCTTCCTCCGTCTTTGGTGACTGTTCTTTGGAGAGTCTAAAATGAACACCTAAAGGTGTACTTACTGGTTTAACATCTTGCATGTTGAACCTGGAGAGTACTTTGTTTATGTACTCAGCCTATGATAACATCAAAGTCCCCGACTTTGTGTCTCTCTTGATCCTCATCCCAAGAATTTCTTTGCAGCTCCAAGATCTTTCATTGCAAATTGCTTCAACAATTTTTGCTTCAAGTTTATAATCTCTTACATGTATGAGTCTGCAACAAGCATGTCATCAACGTACAATAATAGAATAGTGAAGCTTTTATCGAACCTCTTGATGTAGCAACAATGATCTGCTTGGCATCTGGTAAAACCACTGCTACCCATGAAGCTATCGAACTTCTTGTACTACTATATAGGAGCTTGTTTTAAACCATACAAGCTCTTCTTCAACTTGCATACCAGGTTTTTCTTGCCTGCCTCTATAAAGCCTTCTGGCTGCCTCATATAGATTTCTTCCTCCAAATCACCATGAAGGAAAGCTGTCTTTACATCTAACTACTCAAGATGTAAATTCTCTGCAGCTACAATTTTCAACACCAGTCTGATTGTAGACAGTTTTACGACTGGAGAGAAAATTTCATTGTAGTCAATACCTTCTTTTTGCTGAAAGCCTTTGATAACCAATTATGCTTTCTAGCGTTTTCTCCCATCATGCTCTTCTTTGATCTGTAAATCCACTTGTTATGGAGCGCTTTCTTGCCTGGTGGTAATTCAGCTAATTCCCACATCTAATTTGACATAAACGAGTCCATCTCATCTTTCATGGAAGACTCCCACTTGACTGAATCCTCCACCTGCATTGCTTCATCATAGCACTCTGGTTCTCCATTGTCAGTCAGCAACAAGTGGTGTAAAGAAGACGAATAACACTGGGTTGGTTTAGGAATTCTGGAGGAGCGTCTTAGTTATGGTGTCTGGTTCTTCTTGAACTGCTTCAGGACTGATTTGAACATCATTTCAGAAATCTCCGAACTTAGCAAATTCCTTTGTTTCAGTTTCGGTATTGGAGCTATTTGATTCTATGGTTGACCTTTATTTGTACATCACATTCTCATTGAAAATGACATCTTTGCTTCTGATGATCTTTCGATTTTTGTAGTAACCGGTAACCGAACTCATCACCACCATAACCAACAAAGACACATTTATTGGACTTGGCATCATGTTTACTTCTTTCAGCAGAATTTATGTGTACATAAGAAATACAACCAAACACTCTTAAGTGTGAAAGGTTTATTTCTTTCTTGCTCCAAGCTTCCTCTGGTATTCCACCATCCAAGGGAACTGAGGGCCCACTGTTGATCAGGTAAGCTGCAGTGTTGATAGCTTCAGCCCATAGAAATTTGGGCAATCCAGCATGTATCCTCATGCTTCTGGCACGTTTATTCAGAGTTCTGTTCATGCGCTATGCTACGCCATTCTGCTGTGGTGTCATGGGAACTTTTGTCTCTATCTTGATCCCATTATTTGCACAGAAATCTCTGAATCTCTATTTCTGTACTCTCCTCCATTGTCAGACCTCAACCGCTTAACTTTCAAACTAGTCCATTTTCCACCATGGCCTTCCATTTTCTGAAGGTATCAAAGACTTCTGATTTCTTCTTCAGAAAATAAACCCACACCTTCCTTGTAGAATCATCGATGAAGGTGACATAATATAGTGAGTCTGCAAGGGATGAACTGGAGATGGTCCCCATAAATCAGTATGAACAACTCTAACTTTTCTGCTTTGGGTGTCTTGCCAATCTTTGCAAAGCTGACTTTCTTTTGTTTGCCAAAGATGCAATCCTCACATAGTTCGATATCTACATTCTTTAGATTCGACAGCTTCCCTTTTGACAAAAGTGTCTTCATTCCTTTCTCGCTCATATGGCCAAGCCTTTGGTGCCATAGGTTTGATTTTCCATCAGCATCTGCTACTGCAATGATATTCTCTAAATTTGAGGTTACATAGAGAGTATCAGTCTTCTTATCACGAGCAATGACGAGTGCTCCTTTGGTAATCTTCCATTCACAGCCTGAAAAGGTTGTACTATATCCTTCTTCATCAAGCTGTCCTATAGAAATCAAATTTCTTTTGAGGTCTGGAATATGTCTCACTCCTGTCAGCTTCCAGGTGGTCTGGTTTGGAAACTTTAATCGGATGTCTCATTTTCGAGGATCTTCAAGGTTTCATCATCAGCTAGATGAACCTTCCCAAAATCACCACTGACATAGTTCTCCATGATTTCTTGGCATGGGGTGGAGTGGAAAGATGCCCCTGAATCCAAGATCCATGATTCAATCGGACTGTTGACGCTTAGAATCATGGCATCACATGTCTCCTCTGTCATGTTAGCAGATTCCTGTGTGCCGATATCTTTCTTCAGTGCTCGACAATCTATTTTAAAGTGACCCTTCTTGCCACAATTATAACAGTAAAATCTTTCTTTTTTTGTTATGGATTTTCCCAATCTGGATTTCGATCTGCCACGATTTGAATTTCTTTCTGAAGTTCTCCCTCTAGACCCCGTGTACAAGGCTGAGGAGATTGATGCTTCACCCGATTCTCTCCGTCGAATTTCTTCACTCAATACCAGATCCTGCACATCGTCGAAATTTAATTTGTTGTTTCTCAACGAGCTACTGAATGCTGTAACAGTAGCATTCCAACTGTCTGGTAAAAATGATAAGATAATTAAAGCTCGAACTTCATCATCGAATTCAATTTCCACTGAACTCAACTCGGTCTGTGTTGAGTTCATTTAGGTGTTGTTCCACTGATGCCCCTTCCGCCATCCGCAAATTGAATAATCGCCTCATCAAATGAACTTTGTTTGAGGTCGATGGCTTCTCATACATACTGGAGAGAGGCGCCATAAGATTCGCCGTGGTCTTTTCCTTTGTTATGTTGAAAGCAACATTGCAGGATAACGTTAGTAGGATAACTCCGAGGGCTTGTCTGTCGAGAAGAGCCCAGTTTTCATTATTCATGCCCTCTGGTTGCTTTCCTGAGAAATGTTGATATAGATTTTTCTGGTACAAAAAATCTTTAATCTGCATCTTCCAAAAGCCAAAGTTCGCACCATCAAACTTCTCAATTTTCAACTTCCCTTCGTCTGCAGCCATCACTCCCACTCAAATCTGGCATCGTTTGGATCGTTTCTGATAATTTTCGCGAACCACCGTGTATTAGAACACCTCGTCGACAAACTCGTATCGCCGACAAATTTTTTTCTATTCACGAAATTTACTATTCATAAATAGTAATGAATAGTAGCCTCACAAAAAATTGACAAAATTCACAACCAAAAGCTCTGATTATCAGTTTTTGAGAAATAACCGAGTACGAGTAATTTCCCTATAACCAGATTAGTGAGAATGCGAAATAAAAGTGGAAAAGTAATACTCGAAATTGATAACGAAGTTCATCCAATTATGTCTACGTCTTTGGACTGCTGCAGATCTTTTACTAAGAGAGAAAATTTACAGTATTTACAAAACACTCACTACTCACAAGAAAGCTCTCTAGTATTGGGAATAATAAATGATTTGGGATGATTTTAAAGCTAAATGGGTTGTGGTATTTATAGTTGAAGCTTAGGGACTAATCTTGTAATGCCAGCAACTAAATGTTATCTTTCATGAAAAGGCTTAAACTCCGTTCTTTCTGAAAACATTCATGGGAGTATTTGATGTTCTGAATCCTTATCAAAAGCTAAATGGATCTTAAACCAGAAAATTCAGGTGAATGTTTGAACCGAGGAAAGTTTAATTTTTTTTCAACATTAATCATTAATCAGAGTTGTCAACTTCACCCTGTTGCTGTCAAATTTGCTTGAAGATTCTGAAAAAAGAAAATGCAATATCCGCTAGAGATATAAAGTTGAGAATGAACTTTGGTCAATTGTCATACGCCCATTTTGGTCGTTTCTATCAAGTGTTTAGCTTTAGACAAAACACTTTCAACTTTTGGTCAGCATTCTATCAACTCAGTTGGGCTGTACTTCATGTAGATCGGGTTGTTGAATTGTATTATTCACATTTTGGAAGCCTTTTAGTGAGTTGGTAACTCGGTATCCTTTGAACTTCTCCAAAAAATACCATCTCAATAGGAACGGGACGTGCAACAGTTGATGCCACATCTATAAACATTGTCATTATTTTTGCCATTTTCTCCACATAATTGCCTTTCAGTCCCCATTACTGCAATGTATGTTACTTTAAGCAAGTTATTTCTGCCGATCGCGAAGGGTCATTGTTACACGACCTGAACCTTGAACCCTGAACCATATACCTTCTCAACTTAAAATGAAATTTGGCACTGAACCCGCAAAGTAAATCAAACATAACTGTAGACACCCGTTTTTGTTCGGGTCTTTTTTTGTTATATTTAATTATTATTATTATTATTATTAAATTTTGTTGTTATTATTATTATTATTTACATTTTATATTTTGTTACAGGCTTGGAAATGGAGCCCAATATGCAATATCCAGCAACCCATTACAATGCTCAAAGCCCACCCGTTTCCAAGAATTAACCCAACTACAACCCAGACAAGCCTAACCCGGTTCAAGCTCAACATCAGGACCCGATTGAACAATTGACCTGAACTGGCCCAGTACCCAAACCAAATTAGGGTTTTAACCCAAAATGGTTTCCAGCGTCGCCGCCTTCAACTCCTCAGCTTCCCAACCGTGATCCGATCATCGAGCCGTCGCCGAGTTCCTGAGCTGCCATCGGAGCCAATCAGAACGCATCCACAACAGTGACCGTAAATCTGCATCAACAATGACAGAGAGATAGAAATCAATCTCAAAGCCTATTCAAGTCAGAAAATCAGAAGAAATTATTATCCTAGAAATCTAGGATATTATGATCCTACATAAGAAAGTCTAATCCATTACAGCAAATGAGAACCATATAATCAGAGAGAGGGAACAATGGAGGACGATTGGGCGGGGGTAAGAAAAATGAGAGATTCGGGAAAAGAAAAAAAGAAAAAACAGAGGGAAACGAAAAGAAAAAAGGAAAATAAGAAGGAAGATCTCACTTTTGATTTATTGGCCACCATCGCTACCTCACCGGAGCCACAATACTCTGCCGTCAAAGGTAAATATTTTACCTTGGGGCGTTGAGTTTCGTTTTAGGTTTTGAGAGGGGTTTGGTTTCGTTTTGGGTATTCGAAGGAGAGGTGAAAGGGGGGTTTTAAAAATGTTTTGCTCCCCGTGGCCACCGATCTACGGTGGCCGAGGAGCTGTATTTGTTTCTTCGGCGGTGGGGATACGAAGAGAGTAATAATAGAGGGGGAGAGTATTTATGGTTAAAGGGAAAATAGAGATGAGAGAAATGGGGAAGGTTTCAGCCGAAAATCACATAAAATAGGGTATTTAAACAACCCAAAATGATGCCGTTTAGGTGTTTTAGGGCAACTCTCAGCTCGGTGCATAGGTAAACCACGTGAGGAGGGTCTCTGTGTTGTAATGCTTGCATTTTAGTCCTTTAATGAAATCTTCATTTTGCTGTTTCAAGATCTTTATTTAGTTGCTTTTTATTTTAGTCCTTGTAAGATAGTTATTATGCTTGTTTATACTCTTAGACTTCTGGTTGTTAATTTTTCATTGTATATGTTTTGGTCCTTTATATTTATTAGTATATAAAACTGTGAAGTTTATTCTTTGAACCATATGTTTTACCCCGTATTCATTTAAGTCACCATTTCATACTTTGAGTTATGTTTGCTTATTTTTTAACTTGACCCTATGGTTTATGATTCTTCTGTTTTGGTCATTTTTTATATGGATGCCTTTCAGATAAATTTATCATTTATTACTCTAGGCTTGCTTTAATTTATTTTAGTCCTTAACATTAATTTCAGGTTATTCTTGTTTCCGGTGCCTATATTATTTATTGTATTCGATTATGGATATGTTTATTTCTATTTATTATTTAGACCTTCAAGTTTATGTTATTGCAAGTTTGGTCCTTTAGATTTTCAAATGTGTTTATGTGATTATTTATATTTCGATGTGTAATGTTTTATTATTTTGTTTTAGTCCTTTGGGCATATATATATATTTCAAATGTTATGTATTTGCATGTAGTACATTAAATAAATATTATTTGACTTATGTGTTGTAAATATTTTATTTTACATTTATAATTTTATTTATTCCCATATTATTTTCTTATTTAGTAATATGTTATTCAAATATTTTTGAGAACACGTATTTATAAAATGAGCGTGGAAAGTACCACTTAGTCGAAGTGGTGCGATCTTGTATGGCATTTTAACGACATAGTAACTTGAAATAAATCGAGTTTATGTTACTAATTAATTTTAATGATGCAATGTGTGTTATTTTAATTCACAATTTATTTCATTGTATGCAAATTGCAAATCATCAATTTCATTTGTATTTAATTCATATTTATTAATGAGGGAATATTCTTTTATTGATAAGAAATAGTTCGAGTTAGTTTCCTGATGGAGGATTGCTAATTTCAAGATTTCCTTCCGAGTTAAAGAATTTTCTGTAATTAATTAATTCGAAGCAAATTAAACAATGTTGAATAAGCGGATCATCTTTTAACTTTATATTCGATTTGTAATTTCCACCATTACGACAACGTGTAAGCGACACAGTACCAATTTTGGGTGCTGTGGGAATGCTTATTCTTCCCCACGTGTAACCGACTCCCGAACCCGTTTTAATACGATTTCTGGTAAACGTAGGCCATTTTTATCTTAAAAAATGATTTTTACTTAAAATTGTTTTAAAAGATGTTTTTAGGTATTCGACCTACCTAATCCAAAGGTCGATGGCGACTTTATTCAATTTAATTCAAATTAATCCAAAATCATAAATTTTTTCAAATAAAAATCATAATCGTTTTTTTAAAAATAATAAATAATTGTTTTGCGAAAAATGGTTATGACAGCTTGGCGACTCTGCTAGGGATATCTTTTTAGAGAGTCAAGCTGTAGGTCACTTACACATTGTTGTTTTGGTAGAAATTATGAGTTCGAGTCTTTATTCAACTTATGATCCGTTTATTGAAGTTTTTAATTGCTTCAATTTTAATTGTCATACTAACATTTGAATTTTTTGCTTTCAGATTGATCCAAGTTTTTGTCAAGTTTTATATCTTTTTCGTTTTTTGAGTCAATGGTAGGTACGTTCCTTCTCACACACATCACCCGCATTAGCATAACATAAGCTCTAGACACGAGCTTCGGTCCAAATTAGTCGGGGTAAATGCTTTACTCTCGTAAGAATTTATTTTTCGTATGAGTTTTAGCAAATAACCCATTGGATACATACCTTATACATTCGTAGGGATTTATTCCTCGTATGGGTATAAGGTAGTGAATCCCCTCGAATTGAACTCGTCCCATTCGAAACCTGTAATGGGTGAGGATCGAGGGTCTGGCAGCCCAAGGGGGCACCGACATTAAGGACAATTCGAGTCCTCTTTTCCTGTTAGAGCCAAAACCATGTATATAGTGAGCTGTAGAACGATCACCCTAGGTATAGTCATACAGAACCTCTGTCTGTCAGTAGGTACCCAAAATAGGTGTACACAAAGGAGAAGCGTTTCTAAACCCTTATCTTTTGCTTTTAGTTCGTATAATTTGTTTTCTTTTCGAATAAAAGCATGCAAACTAGATACCATGTGGTTATGACCAATTTCTTGAAAATAGATCATTGTGGGTAGCAAGCATGTCGGGGTAGGATTACTATCTATTGAAAGCATGTTCGGGTAGATATCATGAAAGGGTAGGTGTTATATTCATCTCTGAATAACATTTTTATCTGTATTAATTATTTTACATGTACTAACTTGTTTTTCTCTTTTGTTTGTGTACATTAACTTATTTATTTTGTTTGTGTCATTTTCATCGTTCTTTGCATTGCATTGCATCGTCATAATATAATGCGAAAATGTTAATTAGCAAGGGGATATTCAAGAGAAAAATTTCACAAGGAGAGATAAAAATTTTCAAACAAGCAGTCTCGTATACAGGCATGCACTGAAGGTTCAAAGAATCTCAAAATACAATAAAGAAGTGAGCTCGAAGATTGTGCATCATTCAATACTGAAATGATGATCCACTGATCCAAGGAGTAATCTAAAAGTAGATTCTCATCTACGAATACTCCATCAGTAACCATCAAGGAGCGACGCACCAACTTTACCACCGAAGGGGCATTAACCGAGTTAGATTACAAAACTCTTGAGAGGCATCATTTTCAAGAATGAAGATCCGAGACGAAGCAGTGATCCATTTCAGACTCAGCATATAAACGAAGGCATGTCTGTAAAGTGGATTGTCTTGTAATGTGAAAGCTTTTATTTTGGTGAAAATTATTCTAAGATATTCATCGTTGGGATCAACATTTTGGCGTCTGGATTTGCATCTTTGCATTTTGCATATATATTTCATTTTTAAGCATTTTTACATCTATAAAAACATGGAGTTAATCCATGTAGGATTCGATAAAGTGGTCCTAACCACATTAAGAATATAAGCAATAAGCTGAAATCACACGATGGAAGGTTGTTCAGCTGGTTTTAGGACTGAGCCTACCAGAATGATCTAAGAAAAGAGTCCCCGTTTCTTGAGGTCCATGATATTGATATCACATAGGAAGCTCCAGACATTCCGCTGAAAATATAAGACACTGAAGTGTAAGATCCAGAACCTGATCTACTCAGGGGTATGGGCAATCGAAGAATGATGGGACATTACATCTACTATTTGCACTAAAAGATTGTTTTGTTTGAAATCATTTTTATTTTGTCTTTAATATGTGCTTAAATATTTTAATCTTAATGATTGAATTGATGCTACCTTCTAAGGTGGAATAATTGAACAAATTTTAATCTTTAGTTCTTTGAATATTTAATGAATTACTTATTCTCTTGATTCTTCTAGAATTATAGATTTTTGACACATGACAAGATTAAACCTTTCTTATCATGTCTAAAACCCCAAAATAAAATCTCTCGATTCTTTACCTGAAATAATTCATGATCACTGCCAAAGAACCAATTTTTTGACATTCCCTCTCT